GATTTCACAGTTACAACAATTCAGTGCTAATATTGTACATCCAAGTGTGGTGTAAGAAACTGAAACACAGCAGCTTAATAGAAACTAAGTAGAAGAAAACTATCATCTTGTTTCTCCTCTTTGCTGTGTAGCCTGTTAACACTATTGTTATGTTTAGTGCTATACTGAGTGGGGTCCCAACTCCAGAACTTTTCAACTACAGGTAGGTCTTCCACCAGGAGTCGGCGGAGGAAGCTGTCATGACTGCACTCAGAATTATTGCTGCAAATTTTCAGATCTTTAAATTCTTCTTAAAACTTATTCTAAGTCATAAACATAATTGTCGAATGTTTCTCAACATACACATCCTTCTCATAGAAAGTGAAAATTTTGTTTTTATTATGGTGGGACCTGGATTATATGAAGTCATGACTGATGGGATGGAAGATGCTATAGGTTGAAATCCACTGCCCTGGGACAGTGTATTAGTCTAAGGTGTGAGGCAGAGCGTACACTAACTTATTCACGAGGTGTGCACAGGTATTCCAGTAAACTAAGGGTGGAAATACGGTTTCATTGATGTGATTTCTAGTTCATGTTCAGTGAGAACATTTTTCTCTTTTTAAACCAACATGGAAAAACTTCAAAAATTCAGTAAAAAGTTCAGATTAGATTTTTAACGACTCTCAGGGAAATAGATCAGAAAGGAAAAAGACAAACAAACGCTAGAGTTCCTTCCCAGGAATGCTATAGAAGCTGTGTAGTCCAGAGGTTGAGAACTCAAATGCCATCAGGAGTGGCACTGATGGTAAAGGAAGTGAGCCAGGTGTTGGGGACACAGTGAATGGTGAGCTGGAGGAAAAGCACATCCCATCCGGAGGGGCAGCTGGCTCTCAGCTCCAGAGGACCTATGCCATGCCCATGGGCCCAGAGATGCCAAACTCTAAATTTTCTACAGAAGGAAGACATCCTAATTTTTCTATTAGATCTCTTAATTTCTAAATGTTGGGCCAAATGAAATACATCTGTGGGCTGATGTCAAGCAATCTCTGATGTAGACACTTGACGTGGATTGATGTGGAGATCAGCTTCTCATGGCTACAAAACACAAATGAGCATGGCCAGACCTTGCTGTCCGCGGTTGCACTAACCCTGGTAGGATTTGTTTTTGAAATGCACTTCTCCGTTAGTGATGGCAAGTGAAATGTCTGGCTTTGCAAATTACTGCTGTCATTTAGTTTAATGTACTCTTGTTTTTACATATTTATAAAACCCTTTTACATTATTAATAGTGATTAAATGCTTAGACACTGAAGATCAATAATGCTTCTGTTCACCTATTTACATTATTAAAAAGTAATAAGTCATACAGAGCACGCAGAATATGTGGTTTACTTGATAGTCATGTTTGGACGAGATTGAAAAAAAAGAAAGAAAGGCTACAGGGCAAAATGTATTTAGCAAAAAACTATAATTGAGTTGGGCTCGTTAGAGACTCTACCGTGGGCAGGGTGCATGCTCACAGTGACAATACACCATCATGGGGCAAGGAGTACACATTCCATGTGCTTCACAAGCCAACGCAGCCAATTCAGAACAAGAAAGACTAGTCTCACTTGGATGCACAAGGATGAACACTTACTTAACCTTTATGTGTCCTTGCAACAGTTACCTGCATGCCACTGTGTTTAGCTCCAAAGCCTTTTGATGATGGCAATGCTCAGCAGCGAGTCATCTGTGTGGGTCATGTTTTGCCAGTAGGCAAATGAGCCCCTTGGCAATGTTTTCTTCATCTGCTTACCAGGCTATCTCTCAATTACATGGCAAAAGCAAAAACGCAGAGTGGGTCACCTGATTTGCATATTAAGTGGTCTAGGTCTGTTTGAGGAGAGCCACCCCGCAGTCAGGGGTGCATAAGGGCCACACATCGTTTCAAGGTCAGCTAGCCTAGCCTTCTAAGAGAGTCAGCACTCAGTATCAGTCTTGGATTCAAATGTTGACTGTGACATTCATTGGTTGTAACCTGGGACAAAAGACATCATCGACATCTCAGTTCTTGTTTTCTCACCTGGAATGTGGGGATAATCATAGTGTCTACCATATAGGGTTTTTGTACAATTCAGTGAGATAACACACGTTAAAACCTTAGTATGAGGCCCAACACACAGTAAGTGCTCAATAAAAATTGACACGTAGCAAAAGGCCCATTTTACCAGTCATTCAATTGTGTTCTTCTACCAAGAGGAGGTTCATTGGCACGGGTTTGAAGTTTGTAAATAATGTCACTGAAATGTATTAGATTGAATTAGATTTTTAAACATCACTTGGTTGCTAAGTTTCTTGTGTTGACCCAGATAGTGTTTATCTAGTATACATTAGATCCAAGTCACCAGGCTCACTTAAGGACAAGTTGAAGTTGGACAGCTGTGGTAGAACAGAAAGGTTGCAAGAGTTGTTCCAGTGCAAACTTGCTGGCTATGTGGTATTGGGCAAGTTATTTATTCTCTCCAGACCTCAGTTCCCTCCTATGTAAAATACACCAATACAGATACCCACTTCACAGAAATATTGTGAGGTTAAAAGAAAATAAATGCATGTTTGAGTGTTCTGCAAACTATACATACTATGGAGATGTAAGAGCTTGGGGCTATGATTATGTATATATGTGATCAGAGTTAGATTTATTATTTTACCCAGAGTAACACCACATGTGTTGATCTCTTATTTATTTTTTAACCGTAACCGGAGGATATTTTTTCCATTGCTTTTCAGAGAGAGTGGGAGGGAGAGAGAAAGAGAGAAAATCATTGATGTGAGAGAGACACATCGATTGGTTGCCTCCCACATGTGCCCTGACCGGGGCCGGGGATCAAGCCTAAAACTGAGGTAGGTGCCCTTAGGTGGAATCGAACTTGGGACCTTTCAGTCCGCAGGCCGGTGCTCTAACCACTGAGCCAAACCAACCAGGGATAGATGTGTTGATTTTGAGAAGAAATATACTTAGATTGCTGGCCCTCCACTATTCCCCCTGGCAGAGGCCCGCACCTTTTCTGACGGATTAGGTATGTCTGTAATAGCCGAGACCTCTGGATGGAGCAGACCTGCTGCTGTGAGTACACATGCGACTTGCAGAGCCAACGAGAGCTTGGACCATCTCACAGGAGAATGAGGAAAACCCATGGAGCCGGGAGGAGGCGGAGGGCATGAGCCACCACAAGTAACAGGTTTGCTCCCTCCGAGAGGCGGGCCAGCGCCACTGAAGCAGGAAGCCCAACGGCGGGGCTTCGAGTTTCTTCTCACTTCTCGAAGCTTCTTGCTCAGATGCCCTGCTCTGGGCCATGATGGTTTGTCTCCTGTCTCTCTCAGGTACTGACTTTCCCATTTACTTGAGCTCAGTGAGTCTTTTATACAGCTCCACGCCGTGGAGGCTGGTATTTCTTCCACTGTTTTTTCCTTTGTGGAGTGACTGCTTCCTAAGCGTGGTGAAGGCTAGAGCTGGTGACTTATACAGGAAAGTGGGAATAATTGCTGGGTTTTGTTCCCTTTGTCCCTCTGGTAAAATAAAGAAGCCTCCACCATCTAAATAACTGCTTTGACTGTAGCCCACTCCAAAGTGACCCCAGAGTTGCTGTCGAGTTGCGAGGCATGTTTCACAATGGGAATGACCGAGTCCCTTGGAAGAAGGGCGGTTTTGACTAGATGCCCTGGAAGAAAAGGCCTTTATTGTGACGCCCTGGCACGTGGGTTTGGGTTCTACCAGAGACCTCAAAGGTCAGAGCTGCACAGTAATAAAAAGAACGCGTGAGGTTCCAGTCTCAGTAACACTTCTAGCACAGCCTGGGGGAGGGGTAGAGTCTCCCACATCCGCACGCACATCTTGGTCTTCCCCTTTTCTTCTGCTTCGCTCAAAAGTGAGTTTTCAGTTTCTTGGATTGTCCCTGATACCAATCTAACCTCTTGCCTGGGTCTTTCTTGGGGATTGATTCTACCCACTGGGATGCGAGTGAGTGGGTGAGGTGTACACAAAAGCTCCAGGACCAATAGTTTCCATGTTTCTCTTTTAAGCTCCTGTTTGCAATAATCTAGAAGCTGGTGAAATATCAGCTTGCGGGATGAACAAAGGAGAGCAAATCTAAGAGCAAAAATGCGAACTTCAGTGACTTCCTTACACCTAGTGCTAATGAGTAAAATATGCCATCGCCAAAGATGAAGCAGAAGATAACAATGAGCAAAGTCACGTGACTACACTTCAAGTAAGTAAGCAATTTAAAAACCACTTTTCACCTAACGGGTTGGACTTTGGTCTCAGATCTTTAGTGACATCTCATGCCTTTCAGCTTTCATAGAAGACAGATTTTCACAAGTCCTGCATTTCACGTTAGGCAGTCCAATTCACCCAGTTCTTTCATATGGAAAAATTTACATCATGGAATAAAGCGTGAAGTTGAGCTCTTGAAATTCAAGGAGCTTTCAAGGAATCAATCCGGAAGCTAAACAATTAAATTTGCAAATTATACTTCCATCTGTTTTTGTCGTTAAAAGACCCATCTAGCCCGGCTGGGCGTGGCTCAGTGGTTGAGCATCAACGTAGGATCCAGGAGATCGCGGTTCAATTCCCGGTCAGGGCACATGCCTGGGTTTCGGGCTCTGTCCCCAGCAGGGGGCGTACAGGAGGCAGCCAATCAATGACTCTCTCATTATTGATGTTTCTATCTCTCTCTCTTCCTCTCCTTGCCTCTCTGAAATCAATAAAGATATATTTTAAAAAAATCTATACTTCACTACAAATAATACACATCATAAGTGTGTGTGTGTGTGTCTTTTATGATACAGAGTCTCTAGAAATGAGTTCTCCCCCTTAAGTAATGAGCAAGGGCTTGAGCATTTCAGGTAAGCCTAAAAAAAGATCAATGCAGACTGGGTGGAATGGAAAGTAACCTGATCTTTAGAAGATATCTTCCTTTCACACTGCAGGAAAAACATGAGCACTGTTCATTAAAGAATAAAATAAATACACATACCTGCTGTCAAATGAAATCTCTGGAGCAATGACATGAGTACTGTCCTTGCCAATGAGGAATTTGATTCGATCATAGAAGAGTCGTGAAGTGTGCTGAGAGAAGAGGGGGTGGCTTTGCTGAATGAGGTCAAGAGGGTCCGGCGAGCCCTGACAGAGAGGACTTACATAACAGTTGCTTTGTTGACAACAATCGGGGTCCACACAGTCGGTCAAACCATCTGGGAAAAAAAAGCGTTGAAATTTAGCTTCAAAAGAAGCAACATAGTTTAAAATAGGCACATGGAGAAAAATCTAGAATACAAAGATAACTGTCTATATTTGAGTTTGGAATCTATTAAGTCCACGTTCCTCATGAATTATCACTCATTCTGAGTTTATATGGCACATCAGTAAAATTCAAATTATTATGTTCATATATCTTTCTTTCCTGAATTCTCTAGCATTTGTGGGCTGTATTACATTGTTTAGCATTTGGATAGAGTATTCTGTAAGACGGCACTCTTTAGAAGTTTCCCTTTTCCTCAGCAAGACCATCATCCAAGCTAGCAACTCTCTCTTCTATTTATCCTGAATTTTTCACACCATGTACAAGTATGAGCATACAATTAACAAGTGGTTGCCAACCTGAATTTTTTTTTTAGAGAGAGAGGAAGAGAGAGGGAGAGAGCGAAACATCGATGCGAGAGACAAACATCAATCAGCTGCCTCCTACATGGCCCCTACTGGGGATCGAGCCTGCAACCTGGGCATGTGCCCTGACCGGGAATCAAACCAGTGATCTTTTGGTGCACGGGATGATGCTCCAACCAACTGAGCCACACTGGCCAGGGCAATTTATTGGTCTTTTAAAAAAATTCTCCCAATATTTTTATCAACTGGTAATTTAAAATAGAGATCGGTATTCTCATGGTGACAAAGTATCTAGAGCAGGGCAGTGATTTTCAAATGTGTAGTCAATTACCTGGGGAGTTTATTAAAGATGCATATTCTGGAGCCCCATCTACTGAATCAGAATTCCTTCAGGATTATGCATACTTAATCTGGGGGATTATGGAGCACACTAAAGTTTCAGAAGCACTTTTTAAGGAACTTGTAGATGTAACTAGAACTTACTTGTTCCTAATGCAGTTATGTATTTGATGCAAATACCAGAAAACCTCAGGTATGTAATGTAATGAGTCACTCTCTTTCATTTCCTAGGCCTTCACCATCTACTCTAGATTCCTGAATCCACAGTTAACCCAAGGAAAATCACATAAAGGCTTCGCTCTGTGGTACAGGAATGATATGGGGCACAAGGGTTACAGGAGACCATGGAGACTCTAATAGGTGCAAAACACTGTATCAGGTGCTTGGGGAAGCAAAGAGTTTTATAAAACGCCTCTTTTCCTGTTTTCAGGAGCTCAGAGCTTAGTAGGAGAAACAGGTGTCTAACACAGCCGACTTATACTAGTTAAAAATGCAGCAAGTGTTGTAAGAGAGTTTACACACAAAGGGAAAGGGTTAGAGCGGTTAACAGCATTATGGACACTTCATTCCACACCCAATAAGCAAAAAAAAATATTAAAGTCCTTCCCAGGCCCTTAAAGCAGACAAGTGGCCCTAATTTAGATGTTTAACAAGGGTAAATATAGAGATGCTAATCTTCTTGGCTTGCGGTGCAATAGGGAGGCTCAGAAGAAGCAGCGGCTCCTCGGGCTGATGATGAAAGTTACTGGCACCGGTTGCACGCAGCTCTCGTGCTCGCTCTCTCCCTGACAGGGCCTCTCCCGCCGAGCTCGAGGGGGAAGTACCACAGCTGGGGGCAATGAAAGCCGAGAACACCGGGAGAGTAGGCGTTTGCAACGGTAGCCTTAGGGCACCCAGCAAATATTTTTCCCCACATGAGGTCCTTTCAGATTCCCTGTACCGTAGACACTACTTTGATTTAAAATGCAGTCTGCTTCTTTCTTGCTTTCCCTGTTTGTTCAGTGTATTTCTGCCCCGATTTCCACTTGTCTGCATACATATTTCCTTTTCACTGATGACTACTGTGGATTCATTTCAATAAGCCCCCTTCTGCTCGCCTTTCTCCCCTCATTCAGCAAATAATATTAACAGGTTTCCTATAGATTTCAAATGCCACTACCACCTCTCTCGCCAATCCCTTGTTCTCAGACTCCTATTAGCATGTTACCTCTGAACTCTGCTAATTAAACATCTGGATGCATTGAAAAGCTGGCAAAAATATCAGGCTGATTCAAAGAACTCTTGGTGTTTGCAGTCGGTGCACAATATACTACACAACAAAAAACGGCCTTTCCAATGGGCAGTCACTTTTATCTTTCAATTTGTAACAAATGCCCTAGTAATAATCAGATTGGCCATTCAGAGGTTTCAACCTGTCAACCACACAATTCTAACTTATTTTGGAAAAGAAATAAGATTTGAAACAAATAGCAATGCCCCAATGATTTTCAAAACTGGATTCTAAACTAAACACAGAGCCAATTCAAAATCGGGACTCACATTCTCATCTAGTTATGTGCTATAAATTCCAAGCAAATGTTTCAGATTTAATCATTGCCTATTACACAGGGCCAACCCTCTAAGACCCCTGTTTTCTGAGAGAACAGCAAGACTTCTGTTGAATGCAGGAAGGCCACAAGCAAGCAGACCAATCATGGCATGCAATCCCCAAATAATAATTCATAGGTAAGCCCAGTACACGGGCAAAGGCCTACTTGCCAATTATCACATTGGATAACAGCCCATACAGTATGTCTAGACTGTTATAGAGAAGTGCGAATGACAGTCACACTGCATGTGTGGGTTTCTTTTTTTCTTCGGGCTATTAACGGTTCCTTTATTGTTCTGAAATGGAAGCTGTGGCACCCTCCTGACAGCCAGGCTCGGGGTGTCAGATATGGGCATATCAAATGTTCACTTATTTTTATTTTTAGGGCCTGTTCCTTTTAAAAGAATAAAAATAAAAGCTAGCAAAAAAGAGGGTGGTTAAATTGTCTTGAAGGACTAAATGTGGCATTCACTGAAGCTAGCTTTGCCAACCAGTTAGGGACCGTGCCATTTAGCTCAATTGGGGCTGATGAATATCAAGGACATTGGTTTCTTCAGGATGTGACCAAGTCATTCACTATTAAATGTTCACCTGCTAGATGTATGCCCTTGCTTGAAAGGAGGCTTGGACAAAGGCATATACATGACATGTGGAAAACCCATATTTTCCTGATCCTTAAAATGAATTTGAAAAGCTACAGCTTTTCAGGGACAGCATGCACATTAATGCCTTGATAAACATGGACAGCTAGTTCATGGTATTCTCTCCAAAAGGAATTGGAAACATGTAGAAATTAGTTAATATTTGCCAGGTATGACACTAGGTACTTCCCCATGTATCATTTCAACTAATCCTTGCAAAAACCCTGGTAGGTAGACATGGCATTCTCATTTCCATTTTATAGATAAAGAAGGGGAGACTGAATGTGGTTGCACAGTTGGGAGAAATATGGGAGTCATATCACACCCAGTGTATTGACTACAAATCACATGTTCATCATCATCATCATCATCATCTAAGTACTATTACTAGTACCGAGCCAGGCTCTAAGACTTCCAATCGCCTGACTAATTAATGCAGGTATTTAGAACATATGAAATGGTTGAGATCAAAGAACCAGACTATTCTGATTCTATCTAATCTTTTTAAAAAAATGTTTTTATTGATTTCAGAGCGAGGCAGGGAGAGGGAGAGATAGAAACATCAATTATGAGAGAGTCATTGATCGGCTGCCTCCTGCACACCCCTTGCTGGGGATCAAGCCACAACCTGGGCATGTGCCCTGACCAGGAATCAAACCTCGATCTCCTGGTTCATGGGTTGACACTCAACCACTGAGACATGTCGGCTGGGGGGATTCTATCCAATCTTGACTTTGCCACTTACAATCTATAGGATCCTGGACAAATCAGTTCAACTCTTGGATTTGCTTGTAGAGGAGTTTCCTCACCAACAAGATGGGGATAATTAAATACCTACCCTATGAGTTGTTGTAAGGATCGCAGGCTATAATAATCATAAAGGCCTTAGCACAGTGTTTAGTATGTAGCTAGCACTCTTGATAAACGTTAGCTATTGTCATTCACCAAATTCTAGACTGTGCAGACTAAAAAAGAGTCTAGGCATAGTGTCCTAGGGGTAGATGCCAATGGTCTGCAGTGACAGCTTAAAATGTTCAGACTCACTTCTATTGTTTCTGTTGAAGTTGTTTTATCACTGGCCAGACGGCAATTAACTTCTGTGGAGCATATTCAATTCGCTGGAATGTGTTCATTTTGTGAACTCTGCTTGGATAGGTTGTCAGATAGGTAGGATCCTAAGTGGCTCTAAATAGACACTAATGCCACAGTGAATCATCTTTGATTAAATTTTACAAATTCTGAATTCCTTATCATTTGGACAGGGGCTGGACTGAAGCTTAACCTTTTCAGCATCTATAGAATATAGGGTCTGCCAAGCAAGTTAATAGTGAGAAAGAAATTGAAGGGCTGCTCATTCCAATGACTCAGTTAAACAAAATCGTGGGCATTTTAGAAATCCATAAACAATGGACTAATAATAAATCAGATAAATCCTTCATAAACTTTTATTAAAGCAGGCCCCCTACTAGGCATTAGCTTAATGGTTGCTGTTATATGCATTGAAGATAATGTGATTGTAATTCCTTTGGGAATAGCCTGTAATTCATTTTTTCCCCCCATTTATTCAGACTGGCTTTCACCCCAGCATTTTGCTGTATTAGTAAAAAGAAAGTGGGGAGAGGCTCAAGTGCATTCAGAATTTGACCTGCTCAAAACATTGTTATTGCTATAACCACATGCAAATTACTTTTTTTGTGAGGAAAGTACATTGTTTATGTGCCACTAATATTTAGGTTTTCCCAGTCCTCACTTGTTATCAGTGGCTTCCCATATCACTCATAGTAAAAGCTCATGTCCTGACAATGACTTACTTCCTCACAGTTTGGTTCTTCACGGTCTCTCTCTTACCTCTCTGATCTTACCTCCTATTATCCTGCAGCCCCCTTCCCACTATTCCTGTGTCTGGAATGTTCTTTCCAATAGCAACATAGCTCACCCCTCACCTCCTTTAAGTCTTTACTCAAATACCACCTTTCTGGTGAGGCTTTCTCTGACCACCTTATTTAAAATTTCACCCCTC